CTCTAAGAGTGGCAAACTAGGGGATTAATTCGGTTTCGCATACTTTCCAGTAACCGATTGTTAACTTTTTACTTTCAGTTTGTATGTACATATAAGCAAAGTTCGAAGCCAGTTCTTTTTTTTTTAATAAATATTATTTTGATTAAATATCTTTTTGAGCAACTAATTATCATTAAATGGCTGGTGCTAAAGTGTTTTTCAAATCGGCAAAGTGGGAGCTGAACGACGCGTCTCGCGCCCTGGACTGCCTGAAGAAGGCGGCCCGCGTGGCGCAGCAGTGCATGGACGGCGGCGTGCAGGCTCAGCTGCTCGCCGAGCTGCTCGGCCGCTACGCGCTGCTGCGCGAGCGAGGGAACGCCAGTCTAACTACCAACCTTATTGACGCAGTAAGTGTACATCTACAATATTAGTCGATAGAGTTACAAGAATTGGAGAGGATGTGGACGAGCTGTCCACGAGCGGTGCGAAGTGTTGAATCTTTATCATCAGTTTTTAATATAACTGGTATTTTATTATATATGAGTACAGTCTAGTGAGGAAAGAGACTCAGTCTTTTAAGGCGTTTTATAAGGACTTGACTCAATTTTACAGGACTCGACTCTAAAATTAAGACCGGGGGTTCGAGTTTGTATTAATAAGACTCAGTCGTTATACTAAAAGACTCAAAAGACTTAAACGACTTAAAAGACTTAAACGACTCAAGTTGTTCGCAAAGGACCTTGTACCTATTTTATGTCTTATTAAACCGGAAGTTTATAAAGGCTATGAGGGACCAGTCGTTTAAGCTTCCTAGGTTTAAAAGACTTCGACTCGAATTAGTCTTATGACTCAAGACTTGAGAGGTAAAAGACTAGACTAGTCGTGAGGCGTTAAAAATTAGTCGAGGTTTTTTAAAAGGCCTTAAAAGACTAAGGGTCGTATTCTAGAACTCTACTCAATGTTCAAGTCAGGATTTGAGTATGGTTTAAAGCATTCGAAATCATACTCAAGTCCCTGCCATTAGGGTCGTATTTCCAGTGCTCGTGTTTCCAGTGTAATCATGACTTGAGCATTGAGTAGAGTTCTAGAATACGACTCTGAGTCTCTTTCACCACTAGTACAGCCCAGTAGTAAGGGCTATTTTTATACATCACTAAATTCCCTGTACTACCAGACCGACGGAATTCACTATGGAACCAATTTGGAAATGTTCTGTTCCCAAAGTGTTCTTACCGGGAATCAAACCTGGAAAATTATCATGAAGTATTATTTAATATTTCACGATAATATACTTGAATATTTAAATATTAAAAATTGCCACCGAAATTAGAGAAAACTAACCCGAAAATTTCCCAGAACTCGTCAATCCACACAACAGCGTTCACAGTGCAAGCCATTGAGCCGCCGAATACTATTTTGATTGTGTTATTATTATTATAAAGTGGAACGCTTTATGTTCTCTTAACTGTAGAAATATAACTTGCATGTGTATAGAAATTGCGTCAAGATTTCACTTTGCACACGTCTAAGCTTGGTGGCGTATCTATAACCTGTTATATTTAATTTAAAAAAACCAAATTTTCCCATAGATTATTCAAAAAATCCGCGAAGAACTAGCGAACCTGGACCAATCGGAAGAAGTAGAACAGATCACGAAGCATTTCCACAACACGCTGCAGCATTTGAAGAACCGTATGGAGTGCCCCGACCCGGACGGACTGGGTTATGAAGGCTTGAATCTCGCTTAGTTATTTCATATACTACTATTAGAGAATTTTCAAGTGAACTTTGATAATTTTAGGCTCTATTTACATTACTGCGGTACGGGCTTGTTAGGGTCCTAATGGGACGTAAAATAAAAAGTGGACTGTATTATAACTGGGCTGGTATATTCACCGTCTCAATTAAGTACAGACAGCAGCACATCAAGGTACAGGTTGTCAGTATGTCTTTATTGAAGACGGAGTAAAACGACATTTGCGCAAAAGTGTTACACGCTTGCGAGCAGCTAGTGACTATAATCGATAAATGTTCTATCGACTGAATATTGGTCACGCTATGGAATAAATAGCCGAAGTTGTTTCATTTCAATCATCCTCGACCCATTAATCATTCAATTACTGAGCACAAGTTCATTTGAATGGTAAATTTTTGTAAGTTCATACATACATACACTGTATTCAGAAGTATGTTTATAAAAAATACAAAGAGGAGACATATTTTAAAGTTTTTTATTTCAATTCAAATATAGATAATCAAATCCGGCTATTCTTGTTTAAATATATATGAATAAAATTAATCTCGATACTACACTGTACACTACACTGCTGGTCAACTGTCAAAATAAGAATAAATAAAGCAATTTGTAATCATTAGAATGTCGTATCTTTCACAATCGAGCGATAAAACTATCGATAACCTATTTAAAATTTTACGGAATCTGGCAACCCTACAAATGTCATTTTACTCCGTCTTCAAAAAAGACATGCGATAAATATATATAATAGACCGTGGTTATAAGTCGACGGTCGCCGGTGGCTGTCGAGAAGGCGAGTGATCTGATCACCCCTGTGCGAGCAGTAGACACAGCAGTACACTATTTGTGTAGCTCCTTTGTCAACCAGAAGCCACTAAACAGAAAAACTGGATGCATCAAGGTTCTTGAGACGCTTGACACAGATGCCATTGCGAACGTACACACAGACTTCGGCACGAGGTAAAAACCTTTTGCTCCAGAGTATAGCCAGGATAGCTGAGGTACACCGCATCAGCCGGACATCTGATCTGCGTCTCGGCGACGAACAGCAGCTGCGGTTTGTCAGTTTCGAGATGATGGTGGTCCGAATCGGGATTTATGGAGAAGTGAATAGGCAGGGGCATGGCTTAGCATCACCTAGTTGTCACTTGTAGGGTCTCGAGGGTAAACCCACGGAAGCAAGCTACATCGACCCCCAAATCATTTATAAGTGGATAACTAATTATTATGCATAAATAAAAATAATCACATTATTCGCAATAAGATTCATTTAGTATTTTTTTTCAAAACGTGTTTTTCTCAATCACGTTTGAGTTACGATAGCATATTGTTTCATGTGCGATATTTTTTTGTGTAAATACTACACTGGTTTGTTGTTATTGATAAGAAGATCAAACAAAGAAAAAATCCTTCGATCTGACTGGACTCGAACCAGTATCTGTTGTCATGCCGCGGCTAACATTCTTAACCAACTTAGCTACAGAGTCAGCATATTTTACAAGCCAAAAAAGTCTCTTATCTTCCGGAGAATTCTAGCGTAAACTTGAAAATTCCCGTACCTAGTTTGTACGTTACATTTACTTCCATTCCGTTTCGCAGAAATGTAAATTGAGCTTTACCAATAACTGTGCAATTCGTACCCAGATTTAAGTTAAGTTAGGCGCGTTTTCATTGTGCAACTAGCTTTCATGCTACTTGTACGGTGTAAACAGCTTGTGCATAATTTTAAGGTAACTTCACGTCATGAATATCGTAATGTTCATTTTGCTATGTACAATTTCGTTACAAAAATTAGCTTCCATTCTGTTCCGCCGCAATGTAAATTGAGGCTTATTAGCCTATAATCACTTCTTAAATTTTCCCCTTGATCTAAAAAAACACCCGGTATTATGTTCATATATCTTTATAATTATATTAATTTTATAAATGTGATACCTTTTTTGAGTTTACATTACTTCGGAAAGGAATGGAAGCGGTTCTTTGTAACGAAATTGTACATAGTGTAATGAACTTTATGCCAATTGTGTAACATACAAACTAGATACAATACGATAGCTGCGGGAATTCCCGAGACTGAGCGAGAATTTGTTTAGGCTCGGTTAGTTTGTACGTTATTTGTATAGACGTCAAGTTCTTTACGCTATGTACAATTTCGTTATAATAATTCGTTTCCATTCCGTTCCGAGACGATGTAAATTGAGCCTAAATCAGTATTTACAAGATTTCTGCCGTCCACTAACATCATGTGACCGTGACAAAATCATTTTTTGAGATACATTGAGATAGAGCTATACATCGTTAGGGTAAGTTCCGATAAGTCGAATACGGTAATAATTTGAACTGTTTTTAAAAGAGAATTTTGTGCTCTATTTTTTGCTATTTGAAACGGTTATTTAACCATTTATCACTTAACCGCGTTTTAGTTAGTGGACATCAGATTCCTTGTCATATAACATTTCTATGCAATTTATCGATATATGATTTAAATATGGCCGCCCATTTTAAATTCCAAATATTTAAAATATAGATCAAAATGGCAGACAGTAAGTAGCTCGGCCAGGCTCCATAGTGTGTGAATAACCTTGGTTTGCGGCATTGAGTCTATACGTAAAATATTGTTATGTATATTGGACTGTAAATAAATGAAATTGTTTGACATTATGTCGTAGGTATATTATAATTTTAATGTATAAGGTAGGCTTGGATTTGATAGAAGCAATATATCATGTGTTATTGTAATAAATACCGTGTTTTATTTATAGTTTTAAGAAATCAGTTCAAAACACCCTTGGGTCGATCGATGTATGGAAGCATTGATGAGGCTAAAGATGTGTGCCAGTATTGTAGCTGAAGGCTGTGGTCTCTACCTACCCTGATGGGAAAAGAGCGTGAAGTGTGTGGTATATTTATTCATGATTTTGTAGCTGTATTCTAATATCAGATAATTATTGGTTTTTATACATGACGGGCACGTGACTCCACCTGATGTTAAATGGAATCCAAATGTGAAGGTATCTTAATGCAGTGTTGATACAATCATTGCCCTAGCCACCTCCACCCTGCGTGCGTACAAGATGCCTCTTCACGCCTCGTTTGAAGGACCCGATATCATAAGGTGTCACGTGCCGGTGCTACCGGTGCGCTGGAAGGGAGTTCCATTTGTTGCAAATTGTGCCCTTCCAGGGCACGTATACATAAAATGTTTTGAAAAGGACTTCAAGAATTTTTTTTTGAACACGTTTAATAGCGGATTTATATTATTTAATAACTTAAATCCTTAATAAAACTTTTATTAAGTTGAATCCTGTTTAATAAGAATTTTTGTGATCGAATGTCCGCCCATCTAAGGCATCGTTTTTAATTAATCTTTGCCAACCTTTTTCAGTCTGTAGTTTAGTTGGTTGTCTTGTGGTATAACTGTAAGTGCATGTCAAGATTGGAAAAAGTAAAAATGAATGAAACTACTTCATAATTAACCAAGTTTTTTTTGCATTATTCGGTCCCGAGTGGTCAAATCCATAACAATATTAAACTTACCTAATCTACGTGCACATAGGTATAAGTACCATTCAGTAAAAGCTTCTATCTGGATAGAAATAGATTTAAACATACGGCACATAAATAAAACTACAAAGTACTTCTTAGACATACAATATAATAAAAACGCGGGAAGCAAATTGCTTTACCCGACTTCTATATCTCCTAGTGATAAATGGGATGTGGCCTTAAAGATTAAGATTTTACAATATTCGATTGCCTTGCACATTATTTCTGTTATTTAACATAATTTTTTCTTGACGTTTCTTCTCTTCCTTGAAAGCTTCTTTGTTGGCTTTCTTCTCGAGTCTTCTTTCGCGACGATACTCCCTAAGGAGACGTTTACGTTCTTTCTTTTCCTCTGGTGTTTCATCTTTTGGCCTGAAAGAAATTTGGTAATCTATGAAAAAATAACCGTTCAAATAAATAGTTGAATCCAAATTAGTAACACTTCAATCGATCTACAAAGGATTCAATTGCTGTAAGAAGGAAAGACTCAGCCTATATTTTCCCTCATTGTCGATTAACCTAATCTGTTTAGGATTCAATTGATCTAAAAAGGCTTTAACTAAATCTAACTCGTTTAACTCTTAACTTGCGGAAGTTAGTTGGCCGTCCACAAGAACCGGAAATAGGTCCGTCTAGGATCCGCGAATTCCGCAAATTAAGAGTTAATAGTAGTGATGAAAGAGACTCAGTCTTTTAAGGCCTTTAAAAAACCTCGACTAATTTATAACACCGCACGACTAGTCTAGTCTTTTAACCCTCAAGTCTTGAGTCATGACTAAAACTGAGGACTAATTCGAGTCGAAGTCTTTTAACCTTAGGAAGCTTAAAAGACTTATAGGACTAAAACGACTAAAAAGACTAAAACAACTGGCGCCTCATAGCCTCGGGAGTCGCGAGTCATGAGCCGTATGGCGTGATTTTATTTCTACCCACAAGGTATTTATTTTACGATTTTTATTATAATTAAAGAGACGTGATTATTTACTACATACTACTTACGTCATTTTTATTTATAAACTTCGGGTTTAATAAGACATAAAATTTGCAAACAACTCGAGTCGTTTAAGTCTTTTAGTATGACGACTGAGACTTATTAATAAAAACTCGAACCCCCAGTCCTAATTTTAGAGTCGAGTCCTGTAAAATGGAGTCGAGTCGTTATAAAACGCCTTAAATGACTGAGTCTCTTTCATCACTACTTAATAGGCTTAACAGACCATGCAATAAACTGGAAAAACTCGGCGCGTATTTTGCCCTAATTAGGATTCAATAAACAAATATGCGCGAACTAGAACCAGAAGTTCAGTGAAAAAATTGGTAATTAATTAAAAATGAACGACAGCGTGTATTTTGGACTAATTTTTATTTAACCTAAACTATGATTCAAGTGATCTAAAAAGGTTATACCTGATCTAGAAAGGATTCAAATAACCTAGAATTCAACTTACCTAATAGATAACACACTCAGTGAAGAAAGAATGGACTCGGCGTGCGTTTTAGCCTCGTCGTCGCTGTCATCTAGTGATTCATTTTGTGCGTTGAATTTTGCAAGGGACTTCACCGTTAACTTGTTGTCTCTGCCAAGAATGTCTTTTGGTATGCCTTGTGCGTTAAGTTGGATTCTTTTAGATCTCTGCAAAGAAAAAGTTTGAAAAATGTTATATAAAAATATTGCTATCATTTTTGCTGTCTGTAGGCAATATCTGTTAAGTTTCAGTCTTTATTGACGAAAAATATTAACTTAGTTACTTTTTGGTTAAATTGATAACACTACAAAACAGAACAATGGCGAACTTCCATTAAAACTTTTGGTGAGATAATTGTATGTTTGTTTGTTTATGAAAAATATATGAAAATATTGAGTTTAAATTGGATTGATTCTATTTTTGATTTGAAATATAATGTTCTTTTTTTGTCTTTAAATATAGAAAAATCAGAAAATTTGTTCGTTTCCTTAATGATGCTTTTCGTTGTCCTGGCCATAAAAGCAGTTTTTGCAGGGAAATAAAGTTTTTTCATGCTTTCATGTTAGAAACAAAAAAAAAGCAATGTGTTGATTTGCATTCTCGCCATATTTACAGAGGTCATTCTACATCCGAAACTGAACCCAAATCACTAAAAAAATGAACCGAAAAAAAAAATTTGTAAACAAATTTAATCCAAAGGTCATTCAGACTTGCACGGCACTTGCAAACATTTTGAACAATGACCTTAAATGCGCAGAAAGACGCATTTTAGATCTATTTGGTTGTGGGGTGGGGGTAGCGACGGCGGGGGAGTGTCGTATCGAGCGCGCGATTGGTAAATCAGTCGACCTTGCTTCCCGTACTGCGTCTACGTCACGCTGACATCCCACATACATTCTATTCTAGTCTGTCACAAAATGCCACGTACCCAAACGGGTATGTAAACAAGAGCTAGTATTGCCAGAAAGAACCGCTACCAGGTTCACCAGAACCTGCATGGTAATCCATCAAGTACAAGTGCGTGTCTATTCTTATGGCATGATGTGAAACATTTAGTTTACGCGGAGGATACGAGTGTTGAAGTTTCTGCTTTCAAAGTTGTGGAGTCTAATGTTGAAACGAAACTCACGTGCGAATCTCTGTGGAGCTAGGTACTTCTAGCAATACCTTCATGCTAGAAGTCTAAGTTACAAAACTACTTTTTTCAGTCAACTTTTCTAATTAATGTAAATAAATAGTAAATTATAACAATACTAGTACATAATCATAATTAAAAAAATAGGTAAATAAGCGATCGAGAAAGATTACGTACAGCTCGGTGAAGCGGGTGGCGGGGTCACTGCCCTTGCGTGGTGCGTATGACTTGAGACAATTTTGCAAAACTTTACTAGATACAATTAGCCAGAATATTGAACAGAATATATTTTTTAATATTTTTAGACGATTTAGCATTATTTTTATTATTAATTTCTTAGATATGTCGAGAATGCAAATCAACACACTGTAATTGATAAACCCAGCAACAAACATCGGGTTACATGGTGTAATTAACCTCTTACCTTCGGCTCTTCGATAACTTTCGGATGGTTGTACAGATTAGAATAAGTCGATAGTATAGTTTCACAATCCCATTTCTCTTTTGGTTCAACTTCTATGGTCACCATTTCGTCTTCTGATGTCTCTTCTTGTATTTCTTCAAGACGTTGAATTCTGAGAAGAAAGGATAAAACAAAACCGTTCAAACAATTCGTACAATAAGACATTGCAATAACAACTAAAAACAAACAAAAACAAGGTAAGGATAGTCTACTTTACGTTTTGGCATGGAGTTTATTTACGTATTTACTTACAAAGGTATACCAACAGCATATATATAGTTATGTATCTTTTTGTTTATCTTTAATGTGCAGAGGATTTTGATTATATATTTTAACTGTACTATAGTAGGGGTTATTTTTAAACAATTTCAATCTTGGGTTCGGAAGTACTAATACGTTGTTGCGGCGGTAACTAGGTGTGAATTTAAAACGGCTAAATTACGTCTCACATACTTTACAACGTCGAATATACAGGTGACAAAAAGTCACTGTTCATTTTTTTTCCTGTGCATAAGATTCAGTAATAGAACAAATTAGTGAAATAGAAAAAAATTCCCATTTTTTTCATGTTTATATTTCCCAATAATTTCTAACGCGTGGTTACCTCAAAATAGTAAATAAAATTGAGCAATCGGCGCCGACTTGTCTAGACACTTAGGCGCCAGCACGTCGCGCCGCGACGACAGACCTGCGCTAACGCTTTGCGCGTTAGTTTAATACTTTGTTGTCGGATAAACACATAAAACTCGCGCACTGACTCCGCCCACTACCCCACACCGTTCGTGTTGCAATAGCAACGGCGTCTGTTAATCGTCTGTCGGAAAAAATGTTCACAATTCTTCGGAAAACTTTGAAACGTCTTAACTTATTTATTAATTAAGTATTTGAAGAAAAAAATACGAACATGTATTTTTTATTTCCATTATACAGTGTGCTCCTTTAAAATGGTCAGTGGTTTTTTATTACCTTGTTCAAAAGTTTATTCTTTTTGAAAGATGGTTTGCAATTGATATATTCTGCTTATACCCTTGTTTCTTCCAAGCAGCTTTTAGAACAAACCTGGCTATTTCAGCTTCTTTATCAAGCTGATACCGTCTCCTGGATTCTTCGAACTCCTCAGCTGCACGCAGCAGCATATCGTGTGACTCAGGCATGAAGCCTTCGATGTCCTCCAGGTCCAGAGCGCCTACTTCTGTATCGTCGTATTCCGCGAACATCTGGAAATAATATAATTAATAATAACGCACACACTCAACATAGTCCCGCACTAGGGAAACCCTGTGTCGCGGGTGCCATGGACACACGCATAGACAACAACAATTTACACCCAAACTCGCGAGAGAAATAATGTAGGCCATACAAATATTTCCTCCGGCCCGGGAATCGAACCTGGGACCTCTGCGTGGCAGTCCGGCATGGTAACCGTTCGGCCACGGAGGCAGTCAACTATAACATAACTATAAAATTTACAAAATTGTTTTCACTAAAAACAGACCTATGGCTCCATTGACTTACAAATAAATGGACGACGGGTCTAATACAAAAACCACGAAAAAAATGTCCCAAGTCAACCTATTCGAAATTTAAATTGTAATGTCATCGCAGTATCGCGCTGTCAGTAGAACAAACGAAGACTAAAGCGGAGTTTGGCGCTCTGTATACGATTTTAGCGCCTTACAAGTGCGGACACTTTTTAGCGCGGACCCGACGTCCATATAATTGTAAGTCAATGTATGGCTCTTATAATTTCCCTGTATCTCATATGATTACACCCTATATTATAATCTCACCTTCTCAAACCGATTGTCAAGGAGTGAAAGGCCTTGGTTCCTTTGCATAACACTGGAGGTCATCGAGTATTGCGAAAAGCGAGATTTCGTGTCGTCCTTATCCTGAGGATCCCACTTAGGCATTTTCGGTCTATGGCTATGGTCCTGCAAAATACAATTTTTTTTAATGGATATATATATGTTTCAGCTTTCACAGGTTATGTTTTCCATCTTTCATTTCCGGTTTTTATCCCCACTCCTTCATTGTTCATGCGGTCAGACTTTGGAACGCACTTCCCATTACAACCCGCTAGTAAATCCTTAGCTATTTTCAAAACGAGAGTTAAGGAGAACTATTTATTCAGTGTTCCATCCATTTTATAGGTATTATTTATATTATTAAATACGTATTTATCTAAGTAGTTGTAATACTTTAATGTTATTGATAGTCTTTTACTACATAAATTTTGTTTTCTTGTGCACATACAAAAATACAAAAACCACAAATACAAAATTATTTATTTACAAATGAAATGGTGTATAGTCTCTTCCAATCCATTTTGAACAAAAAGTAAACAAACCTGTTTGGTTAAAATTCTAAAGCAATCACTCAATAAATAACACTTTCACGTACATTTCGAAGATTTCGACGTTCATCACTTTTGCCAACAATATTCATTTGAATAGCATCGTAAAATCGTATTTGAAAAATGGTAGTCCAAAAGTGAGGTTATTATTCATCTATACTTCTATGACTTGCCTATGGTTGCATAGTGCTGTTCGAAAAAAAAAAATTCGGTTCAATCAATAAAACATTACTAATCGATTATTAAATCAAACATTTCAATCGCAATCAAACGAGTATCTAAGTGTAAGGATTTGAAGGAGGATGTAAATTGAAATGTTAAATATGCTTATATAGGTTATGTAAGGAAAACAGCTAGTATGACTCAATTGAACAAATCGATTCATACAATTATTTAATCAATGTGTAGTTGGCGTTACAATTGGCCATCACTAAACCGTCTATGGTCGGGTCAGTGACTTGTTTGTTTACTTTTTGTTCAAAATGGATTGAAACGAAGTATAGGTAGGTACATTACAATTTAAATTATGACAAAGAACCAGGTAACACAACTCAACTGTAGCGTATATCGCGTACAGAAAATTTCTTACGTTTCCTGCAATAGGCAAAGCCTGTCTTGCAAGTAATCGATAAAATAATAATAATAAAAAAGCACACACACAACATCAAACATTATTATTATTATATCAAATTATTATATTTTTTTATATTTCAATTTTTACCGTCACGTAAAACCGTTATTATAATTATTGTGTTTTGTATTTAAGTCGGCACGATAAGATTTCTTTTAGAAATAAGCAGTACCTTTGGTTTGTCTTTTCCGTTTTACTAAATGAGATTTGTGTTTTTCTGTAAGTACAATTAATGATTAAATAAATAGGTAACTGTTTCACCTAGTATGTGACGATCTGGTTGAGGACGGACGCTTGATTTAGAAAGTGCCTACACACTCTCACCTTGAAAATTTTCAAGTTATATAAAAAGGGTGGTAAGGTCTGTAATTAGTTGGTGGTCCTAGATCCCACCAGGAACCCTACATCGCTGAGTGTTTTCGAATTTTGCGCTTAGTAGAGTAATTATTACTTAGTTTGATGGTCAAGTAAAACATTATGATTGAAAAGATTCACAAAAATCTTGAAGATTTTGGACGTCTTCAAACGAGAATTGTGCTCATCGACGGAGCGCATATAACTATATAAAATAGCGTATATAAAATAACAATGGTCAAATGAATCCCTGCGTGCTGATTTTGATTCATATTGGAATTGATCCGACCGGGTAGTCTCGAAATCAGATGGATTTCTGAGCAAGAAGATATACATTATTCCTACTATATCTTTCTAATTCATCGAGTATATAACCAGAAATAGAGACGAAATGTCATTTCATTTGTTTGAAAACTATTCTGCCATATCATTACTGTGACAACTGCGCTCCGATTGGCTAGCCCGAGTTCGAAACAATTGACGAGGGTCGTCAATGGGTGTCGTCAACTGTTTCACTTCAAATCGACCAGTTAAATATGCTATAATGGACGAAAATTGCAAAATTACACATTTAATATTTAATTACCGATGAAATATGATTCCGTTTGTTTTGTAATTAGATGTTTTACTGTTTTTCCCACACCACCGAATAGAACAGCACGGCATTGTTAGAGATATTATCTTTATTACAATAAATACAGAATTTTTTTTGGAATATACGGGACGTACACACAGGTCAGTTTTTTTTTAACGCACACACTCAACATAACCCCGCACTAGGGAAACCCTGTGTCGCGGGTGCCATGGACACACACATAGACAACCACAAATTACACCCAAACTTACGAGAGAAATAAATGTAGGTCATACAAATATTTCGCCCGGCCCGGGAATCGAACCTGGGACCTCTGCGTGGCAGTCCGGCATGGTAACCGTTCGGCCACAGAGGCAGTTATGTAGGAGGCACATATTTATAGGTCAGTAGTTGGCATGTCTATATTTCAGTGCAAACGGAAGTTAATATTTATAAGAGCTGTATCGCGAATTTGTTACCAGGAATATATGGCCCTGATTTCGTCTCTATTTCTGGTTATATACTCGATGTTCTAATTTGTGAGTTAAATCAACCATTGTGCCAATTAGAAATGTCAAAGTTTCCGATCGGCCACTTGTGAATCGCAATTATAGGCCTCGAGTCGGAAAAGACGCAGTTTCTGATCGGGAGAGGCAATCAAAATCAAGCTGCTTGTCACATATACCAGAAATTTAATTTGTTTTCTTCGTTTTAGATTTCGTGATTGTAATTTTACACTATATAACCTAATACTAAGATTAATTTTATCACGCTGTGCACTGTTTTTTTTGGAATGTGGTCTAGTTTATTAATTTATCAAACTGTATCTGTTACCATGTGATGATTATATTGTTTGTGTAACGTTAAAATAGAAAAATAAAAATAAAATAGAAAAAGGAGAATGACTTCGATTATCTTTTGAATAAACATTCTGGTGTATATTATGGTTAATGTCTCATATGAACGTTGTTGTTATAAAGCAACCTTCGTTTAAGGTTCCCCTAAATATGTCCATGAGTATCTGTGTCTGTAATTTAACTACCATTATAGTGATTGCTTATAGGTATATTAACTTACCTGTGATCCGCTGTCATCATCAGAGTCCAAATCTGAAGCAAAAGCCTTATCCGATTCATTATCACCATCTTCAGACATACAGTGATCATCTGCATCTTCATCATCTAACTGTTCCTCATCATCATCATCGTCACCTGTTAAAATTTGATGTACAGATATTGAAACGGGTTAAAATAATGTCGATGGGAATTGGTGGATGTAAACTCACCTCCCATTGCAAGTTCAATGAAGTTGTCTTCTAGCTCATTGTCAGGATCCTCAAAGTTGAAATCATCGTCAAGAGCTGCCACTACTTCTGGATCCAGGTCCAGACAGAGACCTGTAAGAACAAAGTTTGACTTGTTATTGTAACTGATTCGACTTGTTGCATGACATTTGCTAATAATTATAGTGCCTGTAGGAAGTTTATCAGAAACTCCTACAAAAAAGATAATATGTTTTCTCAAGTAAGCTATCACTGCATTTACATAGCCTATGTTCAGGCCATTCGTGACGCCTGACGAATATGCATTAGCAATGGATCGTACAGATGTCAACAGGCAGCAGCTACCGGGCGGCGTCCTCATTGCGTAGCTAATCTCCGGACTGTGCACATCAATTATTTTGTACTTTCAAAAATAAGTAAAATAAAGTCAAGTCAGCAGTCTCAAGGAGGTTTTACTTACAAAGTCCCTTCAGTGTAACCCACAAAGGACCGGCGCAATCAGCCTATATTATGTTGTTTGTATTTTTTTTAATAAATAAATATTAAACATTGGTGAAAAGCGCGTATCTGCACGCGTAACATTTAAGCGGAATTGATTTGGCCACTAAATTACCGAAATGGAGATTCATAATCAAATGCTAGTTACGCGTAATTGCACGATATGACATAACATACGTTGCTCTGATCTCAAAATAAGTAACTAAACACTTGTGTTGTGGAAATCGAACGACAGTATCACCACCCAGACCCGAGATAATATAGAAAAGTTAGTTATTCTACTTTGAAACAGCCGGGGATCGAACCCGGGACATCAGAGATACCGACGACGACGACGACACCATAAAAAGCAGTGTGCAAGCAACTCACGAAGGTCGTTAACGTTGTGAGTGGAAACCGGAGTTTAACAGGTCACAGGTCATTAATACATACCTTGTGTTGCAGATCTATTCAATAACCCTACATCCTCTTCTATCTCCGAGGCGAACACAGAGCTGGGAAGTCTAAGATTCTCTGTAATGACTTTCTCTGGCTCAATTTGTGATGTTGATGGCATGGACTCCTTCTTCTTTTCAATTGGTTTCTATAAAATAAATTTGGTGATAATGTTATATTATATATATAATAGTATATTATTATTAAGAGATCTATGCTACCTTGAAACAATATAATAATAATAAAATCACATGTGGTTATATACACTCCCAGACACATAATTCGAGCCACTTTGCATTTTTATCCTTAAAGGGCTAGAATATATAAATATAATTATTTAGGAAATGAAACTATTTTTCCGGATTTAAATCGCGTATATTTGTCAACACGTCAACCGTGACCATGGGACCTGTAAAGGGCCCGAAACGTCGGTTTGTTTGAAAAAACAAATATACGCGATTTAAATCCGGAAAAATAGTTTCATTTCCTATGTGTAACAATGGCGAAAACATAAGAACTCGAAATATAATTATTTTTGTAGAAGAAAAGTTTTCTCCGGTTTTTTAAATTCAAATTTTCAATAAGGACTTAAGGAAATGACGTTTAGTATATCTGTTTCAAAGTTGCATAATAGTCCTTGATCAATCAAGCATTGTTTAAGCTACGGGCATTTAATATTGAAATTGCAAGGTGACACGAATAATGTGTCCGGAAGTATAATAATATTTACAAAATTTTAATATTTCAGAAAAAAATTATTTAATAGTAATATTTAATATATGTATATATAATATATTTAAGCACTAAAACTTTTGTCTTTGACTTTACATATCAATGAATAGTCTATTTTTACCAAAATTAAACTGTTAAGTTTTTGTTACATTATCTGATTTTTTAGATCTCTGTATTTGGTAGTAAGACAATAAGTTCAAACGTGCAAGCCACCTCAATAACGACTCCCGTGCCCGCTCCCGTGTATTGTACGAGACTGATATTTATGCTAATGCTTTCTTTTGTTATTGCACATATTGTTCTTATCCTATCCTTCTAAGTCATATGACAGCAGTGGTGCACTTGGAAGCTAAAGCACAGGTTTCGACCTATTTTAGATTCCAGCTCCCTCACAAACTATAATCAGGTTATAACTAGTACTTATTTTAATAAATTAATTTTTTTTTGTTATTTTTGTAAGAAAGTAAAATCTGATGTATGCAAGGATGTAAAAGTATATCGTCCAATATTGTCCTGGCTACGATAGCTGGCAGGTTAGATTGACCCTATATTCGGTTATGATAAGCATGTCCGCTATGGTGCCGGTTATGGAGGCAATCGATTTAGACATCAATAAACTATGTGCTTGTAATTTTAATTAGAATTTTGGCTTTTATTTAATTTTATTTCAATTTTATTTAATTTTATTTTTTAATCTTTTATTGTCTTTTTAATTCTGATTATATTATTTTGATTTTAACTGTAGGTATTAATTTAAATTTCAATCTCCTTTATTTTGATACGGGTCATGTCGCCTGAAATAAATGATTTTTATTTTTTTATTTATTTTAAGTCATGGAATAAAAGTTGTTGTTTATAATGTTAGTAACATGGTCCTGTAAGATTGTTAGTAACTGCTTCTGTGGCCGAATGGTTACCATGCCGGACTGCCACGCAGAGGTCCCAGGTTTGATTCCCGGGCCGGGAGAAATATTTGTATGGCCTACATTTATTTCTCTCGTGAGTTTGGGTGTAATTTGTGGTTGTCTATGTGTGTGTCCATGGCACCCGCAACACAGTTTCCCTAGTTCGGGGCTATGTTGAGTGTGTGCGTTATTGTTATTATTTTACAAATAACCTTGTATATAAAATATGATTTCCTGCAGCAAGAATCATATGAGATTATTTTCTTTATGTAAGAGAGTCAATACTTACTGGCTGCATAACCATGGTGACTTCTCTGGTATCCTTAAGGTGCTGCAAGTAATTATAGTCATCATCAAAGTAGACGCCATACTTGCGCTGCTCCTCCTTACGCTGTTCTGGTGTAAGCTCCTGAAATATAAAAAAAAGTGGTTAGGATTTTGCAAGTCTTTAGGAGGGCTGATGGCCGATGAAGCAGACCTGTACTTGAGTGATGACCACGTGAAGCCAAACTCAGTGTAGGACGGCCTGCGGCAAGGTGGACGGACCACCGGAGGAAGTTGGCAGGCGGTACAAGATCGGGACAGTTGTCGTGCTCAGGGTAAGGCTTACGTCCAGCAGTGAATGTGTATGAGCTGGAGATGAGGTGTTTGCAATTGCTACATATTGGAAATGAAACTGTACCAACATTTAAAGCTTTGTACAGATCCTATGTATGATCACGGCTGAATAAGGTTTGTTTGAGAAAACAAATATACAGGATATTAGATCATATCAGTGAAATAATATTATAATATTAAATATACATATATATGCTACCCCTACCTTCTCTTTGTTTCTGCACAAATTATGTTACATATTATATTTATACCAAAAAGAATTTTTTTGTTAGCAATAAATTGTTGGTGTTACTGGCATATTTCAACTATTGTGAAATACATGTGTTTATAATATAATATAAATAATAATAAATATACAAATAAATAAAGAAAATAAAAAGACTGGCCAGTGTGTTTTCGTCTTTATGAGTTTTAAGAAGAAAAAAAATATTCAGACTTAAAGCAAATATTTGAGAAGTTTTGGGCAAAGATGGGAAACAGCACCTTGAGAGCCCAGTGGTAAAGTGATCAATAATATGTATCATGAATTTATGATTGAATACCCAATCTAAGGACTTCAGTACAACTTTAGAATAGCTGAGGGCCTACCATAACCTTTCCAAAAACAATCTTATTTCAATGTAAGCTTAAAGTAAGCTTATTATAATGTTACTCATATTCGTACCATGACGAACCTGTCATGTAATGTATTATTGCAAAAGTGATTGAAAGAACGAACGATTTCCCAATATTGTCTATTCCTTACTAAAAATAGGAAAGAGATAACGCTATGTGAACTATATAATGCCATCTCTTTCTTTTTGATGTTCCGAATCGTCTTATCGTAGTATAATGTTTATGTACTTCATGTTATTTACATTCAGAGAATTTTGACTGTTAAGAAAAGAAAAGTATGTAATAATAAAATCTATTAAAATTACGTTGTTTTCTATAATTATTCCGCATTTTCATGAAAATAAATAAAACAAGTAGTCTTGATAGTCACGTTATGAATTCGGAGCTATAGTCTAGTGTGAACTGTTAGTTTCGCCAAGGAGCACATAGATGGCGCTGTTATAATTTTACGAAATAAACATCGCGTATTTTTATTTAACGAAAAAATATTTACTATGTGCTATTACATAAAAAATAAACAAAATATTCAAGACATATATGTAAATAAATCAGTACAACTTCAGTTCTGATCATTACAAATCAATATTAAGACAATAAAATTGTAAATAATATTGTTTCCAATGATGAATTTGACATAAGAGCAATATTACTTTAATGTTAAAGTCATGTCATAGTACGAACTCAATGAATGAATAGTCACAAAGCAGCCAATAAAACATCATAGTTATAACATTACAATAAGCTTACTTTAAGCGCGTTATGTTACAAAAAGTCAATGTAAGGTTAAAGTAATATTGTTTTAAGAGGTTGTGGTAGGCCCCCTGATGTCGAAATTGTGGCTAGAGGGCGCGAGGGGAGAGGGGAGGGACAACCTGCAATATAATAACTTTAGTGAAGTGCAACACAAAAGCTGCATCTGTGTGCCTTTATGGGACAATTTTTGTATTAGCTAGTAATCATTATTTTTTTGCTTTAGATTTCCATGATATTTGAAAGAAACCATTTGCTTTCCAGAAACTGAACTTGTGTGGGCTTCCTTTTGAGTAGATCTACCTCCAAAAATAATATCAACGCCCAACTCAATGTCAGCTATTTTAAAGTTGAGCTAGGACTTCCTAAGATATAGCCAGGTTAAGAGTACACTTAATCAATGAGCATGCATGAAAGCACTGATGCGTGTTGATTAGGCGAAAGAAGTATGTCAGGATTGTTGGAAGTAGAAGGCTGTTATCTCTGCTGACTCTGGTGGGAACAGGGTGTAAAGTATAAAATATCTACCATAAACTATGGGGAAATCCAGGGTTTATGGATACCTTACTGAGGACTAGGACATTCGGATTAGAAGCAATAAAATAGGTTTACATAAATGATGTAAAAACACATTTATCGAGGACTGCAGTCAAAGCTATATTGTCATGAAAAAACAATGACATAGAAACATGAAAAGATATTTAAATTTGGATTACAATGGAATGCACATACTAAAAAGGTTTATTCATTTATTTATTTGATTATAGACAACAGCTTTCGTTGGTATGCCTACATCACACAGTGTTGAAATTTATATCGTTTATTTTAGTTAACTTGTTTAGCACCAATTCACTCTTTCGTAGCCAGTTGTCAAGCTTGCTTTTGAGGGCATTAACAGAGATAGCAGGAACTACATCACTGGTAGCATGTTCCAATTATGTACCATTCCATTGCTGAAAAAATTGTGTGCAGCAGGAGTTTTGGAAGGTGCACAAACTAGTTTGAGATGGTGGCCATGACATGGTTTAAAGTTTTTTAAAGATGTTTTGTGGTATTGGTAGGTTGTACTGACTAATCAGAATTTTATAAGTCAATATGAGGTCACCATGAAGGCGTCTTTCTTCCAGAGTTCTTTCAGAGTAGCGTAATATGCATAGTCTCTTCTCATAGGATTTGTTACTGGCCTGAGTTTGCTCTATTAAAAACATTTAACCTCCTTCAACATAAACTTCAGCCATACGTGATGACATTATTAAAACTATATTTTGACAACCATGGACCAGTTTTTTTAAATTGGTTGCTTTTTATTATATCAAGTGACTAGATGAACAAGTTGTGTGTCTGATGGTAAGCTACATGCCTGTCCATAACAGTTGCAGAGCCACTTAACAGCTTTAAATCACAAAAATATGAGGGGCACTGCCACTGCACCTGTCACCCTGAGACACAAGTTGACAAGTCCCATGTGCTTGTAATTTCACCAGCACCCTTACCCTTCAAAACTAGAATGCAGTAATGCTCACATTAGTGCCTGGTGGCAATACTTCCCTGGACAAACCCCTTCACAATGAGCTCTACTGCTACTGGTCCGAGTGTTCGGGTAGTGCCCCAGAGTGAATTCTGTTGCTCTGGCACTCATAGTGTAAATACATACGTACCAGACAACCAGACCAGTTGCCTGGTTTCAAACTAAGATCAGACAGGGGATAAATATTTTATATATTTTAATTATATTTATACCCCCATAGACCCAACAGAAGTAATAAAAACATGGATATTCATACTTTTTTTTTAAATTTCGGTCAAATATTACTCACAGGTTCCTTCTCCTTTTTCGGTGGAATGTTAGCATTAACGGGCACTAGAACATGCTGCGGGGCTGTTTCATCAGCAATAAGAGGATCTCGCTGCGATCTGTGCACTAGATTGAATGTTACAGCCTTTTTTCTGTCAATAAATTTCTTCTTTGTTTTAGGCTGAAAAAAAAATAGGTTACTATTTAATATGTTCTAGATGAATCACAAATTGTGGAACAATGATATGTTAATTGTGTGTTTTACCATTTCGAGGTGTTCTTCACGTGCTAAATAGGAAAAAAAGTTGAATCAAAACATGAATTTCCAAAACATGTGTTGTTTGGAAATCTGAAATGTCAAGAGGGTTGAGTGTTTAAAAACTCTTACCGGATTAACTGAATTTTGCAAGATTTTATAGTAAGTCGTTTATTTATTTTATAATAATGTGAAGACAGTCAAAGAAAGAAGAAATTCTGATAAATATTTCAATTTGCGATCTGTTGATAACGTTTTATTATTTTGCCTCTTCATTCTAATATCTAGAAATTAAAAATCTATTTAAGTTCCTAAACGTGTACAAAGTGACGTTCCATTGCATAGAGACGAACATGGTCCATATCGATAGTCGATTCAAATATGATTTTTGAAAAAAAGTAAATTTTAATTCTAGGTGATACGGAATAGGGTCCCACACAATACTAAAACGATATGAAAATCATTACTACCAACATTAGGAAATAACTGTCAAAACAAATTAACCTCCAAAAATGTTTACAACCAAGTATTTGATGATTTTGTCATCATGTTATAAGAAATTTAGAACAAAATATGTCTGTGTTACATGCTTACGATCAAAAAGCTCAGCAGAGCCCAAAACTAAGACGTATTCACATACAATTTTGTTCCCAAAAACGAATTTTCCGGCTCGGTCAAATAATAATAAAAAGGAGGAAATTCAGAAGGTAAAAGCTTTTAAAATATGATAAAATCTATTGCTTATACAGTTTTATATATCTTTTAACATAATTACTCTACTGTCTTAGACATTAACGAAGAAAAAATTAAAAAACTTGTACGTGGTTATCGCTTAATTTTTACAGATAGCAAAGTTTTCGGAGCTTTACAACTGGCAAAGAAAGCACCTAGTCGGCCCTGAATTTATATTACACGATGGCCCACCGTATGCTAATGGTGATTTACATATGGGACATGCAGTTAATAAGGTAATTTTATTATTTATTTTATTTATATACTCACGCCCTTAGATTCCCCTTGGGGTAGGCAGAGACTATCGTTCGCCACTTAGCACGATCCTAACAAACTTGTCTTGCTTCACTTACATTCATTAATCTCCAGCTTGCTTAAGAACACTTAATTTGATCTGAGAATGTTCTTAGTGACCGTCTTCTTCCAATGATGCCTTCCATGTTAGTTCTATATATTTCTTTCGTTAATCTGCGTTCATTCATCCGCTCCATGTGCCCAAACTGCCTTAGCATACCCTTTTCTATTTTTGTCACTATATCTTCTTTTATTATTTTATTAATGTTGTTTAACTAATCAATTAAATTTTTGAGATTATTGTTTGTCGATTTGTTAGCTGTCTTGTCTTTTTAAGCCGAAGTGGTTGTTAAATTGTTGTTATTTTAATCTTTACTTGAAATAACGAAAAAGTTTCATCCTCTTCAGTAATTTCTTCATTTAAGTTTCATATTGAAAGCTAAAAAAAAATTTAAATGAACATAATGAAAACAATATTCGTCAGTTGAAACTATTTTTCTGGATTTAAATCGCGTTATATCGCGATATAATCGCGAATAAAATTTTTATTCTGTGATAACACTATTCTTGTATTCTAGCCTTTTACAACAAAAATGCGAGGTGGCTCGAATTATGTGTCCGGAAGTATTTACTATTTACACTGATTACTTTAGATTGCACATGATGTATTTTAATTTTCATTGTAACAAAAGGATGTTAATAAATTGAAACTTTTCCAGATAATAAAAGATATAAACAATCGTAGCCAAATACTACAAGGCAACAAAGTCCATTATGTACCTGGCTGGGATTGCCACGGTCTCCCAATAGAACTAAAAGCATTACAAAAAGCCAAAACAGGAAAAGGACGTACTGAACCAACAACTCCAATTCAAATTAGAAATATAGCCCGTAAATTTGCACTGGAAACTGTAGAGAAACAAAAGGCAGCTTTTGAAAGCTGGGGTGTTATGGCTGATTGGGATAAACAGTGTTATTTGACATTAAAGAAAAGTTATGTACAGAAACAATTAAGGCAATTTTATAAGATGTATGAACAGGGGCTGATTTTTCGTGCATTAAAACCAGTGTACTGGTCACCTAGCTCTAAGTAAGTATTTTGATTACAATAAAATCTAGATGTCCTTGGAGCAATTATATATTTGTGTCTTGCACTATGTGAAACCAATTTTTTGTGGTTTCATGTAGTATTCAGAATACGATACTGACGCATGCACCTACGCACGCACGAAATTGAATGTAAAAGATATTTCAATATTTTGAAATGGAATGTAAAAGACTTTTAACATTATGAATATCACTCCTTCTTTCAGGACAGCGCTAGCAGAGGCGGAGTTAGAATACGATCCTCATTACAAAAGCAAAGAGGTCTATGTCTCATTTCCTATTGAGAATGTCCCAAAGGTTGTCCAAAATGTTTTAAAAGGGTAAGTTTAGCAGGCTATATGAGATTTAATTGTTAATTAATAATTTAATTCCGCCACGCTCTCGGCCGAAGCGCCGAATGTTCGTCTGCCGAATTTTCGGTGTAAGATCTGTGCATTTCACGTGCTACCTGTTACGTCCGGAGGTAACGGGGGTGGGGTGTTTTTGTTGAAAAATCATAAAACGATAGAAACGATACATGTCAATTTCTGGACCTGTTTTTAAGAAGTGGCTACAGATAATATCCAATATGATGAGCATGTGGAGAAAAGGTCTATTGCACGTGAGATTGATTTTTATTTGAAAACTGTTCATACGACAGATCTTTATAAGTGGTGGTCAGCAAACCCAAGCAGTATCCAAGCCTGTCAAAATTTGCTAAGATTTATTTATCGTCTCCTGGCAGTAGTGTTTATTGTGAGATGCTATTTTTAGAACCAGGAATTGTTTATGAGGGAAAAATGTTTTCATTCATCACAACCTGCCACTGGTTTATTTTATGTATTAAAGCAATAATTTGTGATTAAAATACATGATACATTTTGAATAATATGTGCTTTTTTTAATTATTTGATATTCGGTATTCGGCCGAATATTAAAAAAAGTGGCCGAAAAGACCGAATACCGAATATTAGCCGAATGTTCATTGTATCTCTAATATATATTATTCTATTCGATGTATAATAATAATAACTGTACAATAATCAATTGACATAATAAATACACTTGTTAACTTATAATGTAATATTTATTTCCAGTAAACCTCTCTATGCATTAATTTGGACTACCACACCCTGGACTTTGATAGCCAACCGCGCAATTTGCTATAGCCCTCAACTAAAATACAGCATTGTGACTTTGACCAGTAGACCTGGGGAGTATTATCTTGTTGGAAGTGGATTAATTGAATCGCTGGAGACGACTTTGGGTGTGGAGATACCGAAAGTTTTGGAGTTTGATGGTAAGATTATTTTCTTAATAAAATTTTGCTTGCAAAGATAATCCAGAAACCACTGTTGGCATATTCTAAGCGCCTGAAATAATATTATTATCAGTTACATGGAGAAGATAAACTGTCTTTTTAGAAGATAACTTTTGCAAAGACACAAAACCTTTATTACTTTTTTAAATAATTTTTTATAGAAGCTTCTAAAATAGTGAAAAAGAAATATGTTTAGGTAGAAGTTAGATAACAAATAGTTATATAAAAAAGTTAATTTTATGCTACTAGAACCATGAAAAACGTAAAGTGGTCAGCCAACCTGATGTCAAAACAGCTGGCCACTTTATTTCTTTAATATTTCTGTTAGCGCTAAAGTAGAAAGTATGTCAATAAAGGTACTAAATAGTAGGAAATAGGTAGTAAAAATGAGCACAGTTTGATTTGTATATCTCGTTTGGTCCAGCCATTCTGACAGACACAGCATAGGTCATGGGAGAACAAGTGCGAGTGTTCCGTATTTTCAATTATAGTTCAATTTGGCACAAGAGTCTCCTGTCTCGTTGCCTGGGATTCCCACATGTCCAGGGATCTAGGCTAGCACCTTCTTTATACCCTGCTTGTGACAACCTAATAGGGCCTCTTTAATCTTAAGAATAACTGGGAACCGGAAGGAAGAGTGGAAAGGATTTGACAGGATGGATTGAAGGCAACTTTTGGAATCGGTGAAGATGATAGACTTATTGAGTTTATGAGACTTGACATAGAAAACTGCTTCCAGTAGGGCGATTGCTTCACCAGTAAATACTGAAAAGTATAAGGAGCATTTGAAGCTTAAATTTATCTCAGCAGATGGGATATTTTACGTTAGGTGTACTTAAACAAAATTGTCAACTGTATTTGTATTTTTTTTTATTAAATTTAATTGCCTACTAACAAGAGATTGTAACAGTTTTGAGTGGTTTGCGTTCTTGTAAATTTCGAACATTCTATTTGTTAAAGTTTTTAAAATTTTTATACTTCCATTTTACCCGCCATGCGTCTTTACGGTTTAAAATTAAAAAAAAAATCAATTTGAGTAAGTTTTTTATGCCTTATTTTTTAATATGGTGGAATGAAATCACAACTGCCCGTTAGATACACCTTGTATCTTCCTTCCTCCATCCTTTTTTTCAATAAGGGTTTGATTACGGCTTTCCAAACTCTATGTTAAAAGAGTTTGACTTAAGTGTAACTTTATGACTTGGTACTTGGTACTTGGTGTAACGGGCTGGTGTAACTTTATGACTTAGGTATTATTATTTATTTAAATATAGACAGTATTATTTTCTTATTTAATTTTTGTTTTTATTAAAACGGTGTAGTACCGTAACTGTAGAAAAGCTGTTGGAATGCGATTGCCATTATCATAATAATTTAATTTTATTATTATTAGCTCTACTGCTACTAAAAACCTATTATTTTTTTAATATTATTATTAACAAGTAACACTCTCTGTACTTTCGGTAAGATACCGCTAGATGGCGTTGAACCATTTTTGTAAACCGCGCTGTTGTTACCAAAAATTGTGTTAACTGTTGAGTGGTTTACAATATATGAACTTGCTATTGGATCATTTTATTCGTGTTATTTGTATACAAGGGTAAGAAATTAACAATTTTATTTTCTATACAGGTCACCATCTTGAAAAAACAACATATTACAACAAACTCGTAAAAACGACGCTGCCGTTTCTAGAAGGTGACCACGTGACTGAGGGAAAGGGAACTGGTTTAGTACATACTGCGCCAGCTCATGGGCCTGAGGATTTCTTGGTCGCCTTGAAAAATAACATGACTGTGGTATGATTCATAATAAAAATTACTTTCTTGCTTGACTTACAGCTTTGTTCCATTTCGTGTCATAACTTCGCCATGTTTCAATATTTTTTATCGAAAATGAAACTATTTTTTCGGATCTAAATTAAATTAGACGTAATTTGTTGATGTGTTTACCACCTCAGTCAGCCGTGTGTCGTGACCTGTAAAGGGCCTGAAAAAAAAAAACAAATTGGAATGATATCAAAGAGTATAAGATCCGAAAAAAATCCAATTTGTAAGTGCGTATGCACACTACGTCCGATTCGTAAAAGTTCCGAATCCGAGAAATGACTGTCCGAAATGTCACAAGCATCATTTTATCTCTAGGTGTATAAGTGATATATTTTCTCGGATTTACCGCACAAACTACATCCGAAATGGGTCCGAGTTTTCTAGATTTGTATAGTTTTGGATTCGGAACGAACGTGTTAACAATCACGGAACAAAGGTTCCGTTATCATTATTTTCTCGCTCATTATTTTTTAATTTTCTCGAGATTTTTGCATTTGGTTCAAGAATCCAGCGGCTGTCCGGCAACTTTGGCGTAGTCTCGTAAATGTACCGCCGAAACATGCCATTGTATTAATATGGGTTAATTATTAATACGTGTTAATATAATGGCATGGCCTCGGTAGTCATTAGTACGTGTACCCTCGGTATTTTACTTAGAAAAGAAAATCAATTCTTTTTTTCATATACTT